GTCGACGTCGGTGACTGCCCTTGGACCAAACAACCAAAAAGAGATCCCCTTGCTCAATGCGGTAGATAATGAGTTGGAGACCACTGAAAAAAGAATCCGCGAGGAAGAAGCGGCACTTTTTGCATTCCTCAACGGCCGATAAGCCGTATGACATAAGAAAAAAAAAAGAAAAAAAAGAAAAAAGTGCAATCCATGATGAGACCTTGTGTGACAGTTTCTGTCTGCATGAGATTCATACAGGAAACCAACCACTCTTGTGGACCATTAAACGTGACCAAACAGAGAGGGAGCGAGAGAGTAACTTTGTGAAGAAAGCAATCTTAGCTTGACAGGGCAACGAAATGGACTTGTGGTATGCGGTAGGGGCGCTATTGATCCCATTTCCGCAACATTTCTGGGGACTCTATGGATGGATCACCATTTATTTCTTTTCCCTTTCAGTATCCAAAGGCTGAATGCAACACAAAGTTAACTACGATACCTCGACCAATTGGCTCTCGAGCGAGGACGAAGGAATACCAATAAACTAGAAATAAGAAAATAATGAAGTGGAACAAAACACCTAAAATTTCTCTTTAGAATCATTGCACGCAAATACAATTGCATTATTTCCATTGAGACGGCCATTTTACGTTCCACAGATGCAGCAATTAGTGAAACCACAAAAAGAGTACTGTACGACAACGCAACATTTTTCAGAGTCTTGTCACTGGTGTTAATTTTGCTAATTGACCACAATATAGTCGTTTGTGAATCAAACACATCATCAAGAACGAACAATAATCAAATAAAGGCAAAATTTGTTGTGTTTGCAAAAAAACTTAATTTTTCTCCTCTCCCCTTCTTTTTATCCCCGCAGACAAGGCCTGTGCTACCACCACCACCACCACCACTAATACCACTGCTGCTGCCCGCACCTCAGGAACAGACAAATTGTACCGAAGCCATGCGCCAGCCACGCCACACCGCGCCGCTGCTGCCACTGCTGCTGCCGTGGCTCATGATGGTGGTGTGTTGCGCCGGTGTTTGCGTTGCCGCTGATCGTGCAGTGAAGCACCGCTGTGGGTTTGACGCGATGATGAAGAAATACGGCCGGCTGCCGACTGCGGTGGTGCGTGAGGTGCCGCGCCGGGGACAGGGCGCCGTGCAGGCGTACACCGCCGCCAGCGAGGATGGGGACGATGGCTGGGCACCGATCCGCTTTAGGGTTTTTACGGAGGATCTGAAGAATCCACTGAAGTACTGCACTGCAGAGGGGCAACAAGGGTCGGACCTTTGGGGAATAATGACTGTTTGTCGAAGAGGGAATATATTTACGGAGGAATAGAAGAATATATTTGAGTCATAGGTCATTCTCAAAGCCCTTAAAATGCACTCTGATCGGATTTTTGTTAAACCCATGAGGATCAAGTTGGTTGTGCCGGATCCTGTGTATGGAATTTGCACTGAATTTACGATTCCGCGTGAACACCGGACGAAAGGGGTGCCTAATACCGACATAGTTATTTATGCCGGTGCTGCACCCGTGACTGGGGCGGCGGCGTGGGCAGGGCCGTGCCTCACATTGCGGGATGGTCGTCCATTTGTTGCTGTGTTGAACTATGATCCTCGGACCCTTGTTCGTGATGATGCGACAGTGCGCCAAACCGCACACGAGGTTGCACATGCTCTTGGATTTGGCTACGAGATATGGAACCACTCGG